GGTGATGGAACCTATATCATTTATTCTTTTTAGCACGTCGGCTAAGCTCGTTTTATCCTTCATTACCGAGGTCATCATTCATTGGCCCCATATGACCAAGACCTGTAATCTGTTTTCACCAATGCCCTAGAACAAATAATCAAGTCGGTTCAAATTATTTTAGCCGAGATAATCCTCATAGCCAAGGTCTTTGTTTCATTAAACCAAGAATTTCAAGAGTTTTAACACGCGTGTGAGCTGTCATGCACAATATTTCAATCGTTTCTGCCATGCATTTTTCCCCTACTGAGCCGTACCTGACACATCGTATCACGCATACATGCGCCGTCTGACAAGCACATTGTCCAAGGCACATTGATGGTATTTTGCCGCCATTCTCCACGTTTGATCAATATTACCTCTCTCTCTCTCTCTCCCTCTCCGTCTTTTCACTTTTTCACCATCATTTTTGTGCAAACTCTCTCTCTCTACTCCCCCAAACCTGCCATTGTTTCAAGCCTTCAAGCTCTGTAACCAGTTCCACTCTTCCCTTCCGGCGAAGCCTTTGCTGATCTTTTCCGGTCGCGGCCATCATCTGACTCCGGTGTTGTAACAACCCATATTCATGTCTTAGTCATGTTCATGTGCATTTACATAACTTTGTCTTGTTAAGTTTACATTCATGAATCTTGTCCTGTTTTGTTTAAGTGTTGCTTGCATGCTTTGTTCCTCCCCTGCTATGCCAAGCCTAGGTCATGTCAAGCCTAGGTCATGTTAAGCCTAGGTCATGCCAAGCCTAGGTCATGTCAAGCCTAGGTCATGTTAAGCCTAGGTCATACCAAGCCTAGGTCATGTCAAGCCTAGGTCACACCTTTGAACCTCTTACCCCTAGGACCATCTTGGAACCACTTTAGTTGACCTCCACCATCACCTAGGCATATTGGCCGAGATGTCATCATCTAGGCCGAGGTGTGCATCACCTAGGCCAAGATGTGCATCATCTAGGCCGAGGTGTGCATCACCTAGGCCAAGACGTGCATCATCTAGGCCGAGATGTTATCATCTAGGCGCCCTAGATCCTTGATCCTTGCACCTAGTGATCTTGTTCCTGGACTGGAATGACCTAGACCGAGGCGTGGCACATCTAGGCCGAGGTGTGGCACAGCTTGGCCAAGTGTTATCCTTTCTAGCCGAGATCATTGAGACCTTACTTGCCGAAGCCTATGTCCTTAGCCAAGATCATTACCTGCCGGAGTGCCCATGTCATCTAACTTGTTGTACACACTTTGTCATACACTTGTCTTGTCTTTCTATCACCTTTTGAGGAAAACCAATCCGGTACTGCCACGTGTCCCTGCAGAGGGTTAAATCAGCCAGCAGAGAAAGAAAAACATATCATTTGCTATATCCTTGTCTTAGAAGAGAGAGAAGCTCTAGGAAGAGGAAGAGGAAGAGGAAGAGGAAGAGGAATTCTAGAGAGAGGTAGATTTCCAAGCTTGATCCCTAGAGATCAAACCATTAGATCCGTGTTTTAAGATTAGATTCGTGATCTACTCTTGTTATTCTTTATGTTGATCTAATCGCATTACATGATCTAGCATGTTTCATGAACCATGCATCGCTTTGAAGTTCGATTTTAGAAAGAGAAAGTGATATTCATGTGTTCTTGAGGAAAAGCCATGTTTTGATCCGAAAGTTTGTATCAAGATCCATGTTTTCATGTTTGTTTTCATATGATCTTCAAGTATGGGTACCAAGGTCCATGTTTTTGAACTCATAGCATGAAACCTCAGATTTTATAATAACAAGTTATGATTTTAGCATTCATGTTCTTCATGTTCTTCATGCCCATGTTCTTCAAGGATGAAACCCAGATTTCTAGGCTTCATTTCCCTAGATGTGATCACCGAGACCACTCTTGCCTAGATCACACACTTAGGCCAAGCATCGTATCTCACCTTGGCCTACCTTCCATGATCACTTGCACGTTAGTTTATCTTGCATGCACACCTAGGCTAACCACTGCACACCTAGGCCGACCGTGGTACACCCTTGCCGGCACCTTGTAACACCTCAGCAGGCAGCTGCATACTGAAGGCTAGGTAACCACACCTTGGCCAAGAGGTGTGGGACCTCGGCCAAGACCTCCTGAGTTCACTCAGCTAGGTCATTTTTGCCTAGATCATTTCTGTGCATCCATTCCAAGACCTGGTTGGTACCCAGCATGTTTTCCCTAGATGTTTTCCAGCATGTTTTCCCTAGATCATTTGCATTCATGTAAAGCTTGTTTTTAAGAGTACATTCAATAGACTTTGCCATGTGTTTGTAGGACTTGGACCTTTGCCTTGATCCCGACGTCCCAAGAACTATGTGAGTGGTATTTCTAATAACGCTATGTTATAACGTTTTGTTAAAGCTTCGTTTTGCTTGTTTTGAAAAGTATTGTTAAGCATGAATGATGATCCCTATTTTGTATATCAAGTATTAGCCTTGTTTTGGATGACATTCTTGGAAAGTCCGTACGTGTTAGGGGGCTCTAAACTTTTGTAGCACAAATCCTCCCATGCTAGGGGACTTTAAGCCCATGTAGCATCATATTTGAGAGATATTTGTCATCGACGGTCTATAAACGGATGGCCCCACCGACGGTCTGTGAACGAGTGGATTTGTCATCGACGGTCTATGAACGGATGGCCCCACCGACGGTTTGTGAACGGGTGGATTTGTCACCAACGGTCTATGAACGGGAGGGTTTGTTTCGTCAGGAATGTCATCACCCCATGTATTATGTAGATGTTATTAAACATCCCAAGAAGATTTGATTGATGAACTTGATCCATCCCATGTTTTGAACAAGCTATGATATATGTATTGTTTTGACAAGGACCTCGGGAATCATTTATTTAACCCCTTTATTACTTATACCATTCACTGAGTATCCAAGCTCACCCTCTCCTTATATATGTATATAGGTAACAAGCATGAAGGCGGTGACGCCGAGATGTGTTATTTGCAAGATAATGTTTGATCCATGTTATGTCGGTAATCTTGAAGATTATGCTTCTTGACTTTATATTTCATGTATTTTGTATATGTCGGCTTGAGAAGCCTTTTGATCAAGATGTAACATGTACTTTATTTTATTTGTATTCAAGTTGTAAAACCATGCTAAGATGTATGTCATTTCATTTGATCTATGCACAGCTCTTATGGACTATTTAGATTTAAAAATATTGCTTCCGCACATGTTAGCCCCATATGTAATACTCTGATTGTGTGTGAATTTTGAAAGTTGGCCTTCAGTAATCTCGGATTACTGGCCATCACGGCACCATTTTACTAGGGGCGGAATGGGGTCGTGACAGGTGTACTCAACACCAGCTCCATTCTCTTCGGTGAATTATTTATGTCCACTTCGTTTCAATTTCTTGTTGTACTTCAAAGAACTCTGTTGCTTTTGCGAACTTGCTCATGTCTTTGATCGTTTAATTTGTATCTCGACTTTCACCATGTATTGAGCATGTTTGCTTCGTGATTCTATTTTTGCCCAGTCCATTCTTGAGTATATACACACTGCTTACATATTTGTTGATTTTTGCCACTGTTCTTGGTCTTACACACCTGCACAAACTTTATCACTATTCTTGATTCTGAATCATTGTTCTTGTTTCTGTTTTCTGTGTCTTTTCTAGATTCTTGCCTTCAATCTTTATTTGCCTAGACTTAGGTTTAGGATTTGTCGTAGAATTCACGAATCTTAGGGAAAACTGAAATGAATTCCCCTTAGATCCTCACAAATTCTTACCCCAGCATACATTTAGGTTTTAGCCGAGGTCCCTCAAACCTTCACAAAACACTTCCTTCTGAAAACCAACACCTTCCCCCAAGCCGACATCATGGGCATATAGAGGTATAGGGTAGACACCCCAACTAAGTTAGAATATTTCAAGCAGGAGTTTTCCATCCCGATCGACGCCCATCTGAGGTTGGTTGGGGAGGATGACTCCATCATGCCCACAATCGACTCCATGCCCTTCCTAGTTGTAGCTTTCATAGAGTGTTGACTCAAGCTTCCACTTAACATCCTTTTCCAAGAAGTCCTCCATTACTACAAATTGAACCCAATGCAGCTCGCCATCAACTCTTACCGAGTTATCAACGGCATAATAACCTAGCCAAAAAAGAGAACGCTAGGGTAACTTTAGCCGACATCCAATACTGCTACACCATGTGTGGCCTCAAGTTAGAAAAATACTACATCTACTATCTCAAACCAAGGTCCACAGAATACAAACTTGTTACCGACCTCCCAGACTCCAATAAAGGAGCCGGGGACGATTACTTCATTGTCTCAGGCAACTGGGAGTTCGCTCCAAAGGAACACCTTCACCTCTACCCTCTTAGCCGAACAGTATTCATAGAGGGTAATGGTAAGCGCCAAGTGTTACACTTACTTGCTTTTCAAGTATTTAATACTTTGTTCTTTCTATATATTCTAACATCTGATTTTCTTGCAGCTCTTTCAGAGCTGCCAAAAGACTTCCGTAAGTCCTTATTCCCTAGCAAGGACTTCAAGAAGTTGTTGGTTCTGCCAGTTCAGAGGCGGAGAGCTCCTTTGTTGCTCAACTACATCCGACTTACAAGTCGGTTCTTCCCGACGTCCCGAAGAAGAAGAAGAGCAAGTCTCCTCCTTCCGCCACAACTTCACCAGCAACTTCAACACCTCAGCCAGATCAGGGATCAACTTCTGAACTAGCTGAGCAACCATCAACCTCGACTCCACATCTGATCCCTCCGTCTCAACGCAAACGCCGATACCGAACTACAATCGCTGCCGAGATGGGTTGCAAGAAAGCAGTTGTAGACGATCTTCTGGCCGACATCCCTGACACTGTCAACGCACAAGCAGCACCATCCCAGCCTCAACCAAAGCCGAAACCAAAAAGGCTAAAAAAATCCGAACCCAAGGCAACGGTGAGTCTCAACGCAAACGCCGATACCGAACTACAATCGCTGCCGAGATGGGTTGCAAGAAAGCAGTTGTAGACGATCTTCTGGCCGACATCCCTGACACTGTCAACGCACAAGCAGCACCATCCCAGCCTCAACCAAAGCCGAAACCAAAAAGGCTAAAAAAATTCCAACCCAAGGCAACGGTGACTCAGATCGACACTGAGGACACCTTGCCGATATCCAAAATAGCTGAGGCGGAAAAAAGTGCCTCTACCGTCGCAAAGAGGCTCGCCGAGGCCGCACCCTCCGAATTAACCAGGTCAAAGAGACCGAGGTCTGAATCGGCAATAACCTCGGGCTCTATGAAATCTAATGCCCCCTGGGCTCCCCCCATTACAATCGAGGACAAGCCGGTTAGAGCTAGCGACAGCGTCGATGATATTGAAGTCAGCATTGCCCTCTCTACCGCGCTACTCCTTCTTCAGGATCTCAATCGCAATGCCGAGATAAGCGAGTATGAGAACTTCGCTCTAATGTTACAGCACTCCGTGCAAGTAAGCCCTTAAAACTTGGTGCTTTACATTCTTTATTTTTCTGTACTTAGGAAATTTATCTAACTTTTTGTCTTGTCCATTTCTTCTAGGCTATCCAACATGGCCACTTATTCGCAATGCAAGCCTTTAATATTACGAAGGAATTGGCAAATAAAACCAAGGAGGCTGCTAGCTTGCAGAGGGCCCTTAACAAGGTTGAGGGCAAACTAAAGGACTTGACAGATCAGGTCGAGGCAGCCAAAAAAGCCCGGGACGAGGCTGAGGAAAAGGCAGATGCTACCGAAGCCATTACCAAGGTCCTTGAGGCCAAAAAGAAAGAGGCCCAAATGAAAACTGCCAAAGCCCAGGCTGAGCTTCAGGTTGCCCTGGCCACAAAGGATGCCGAGGTCAAAGCGGCTGATGAAAAAGCATACGAGCCGACGTCAATGAGGATTATAAGAGACAAGTGAAGCAGGCATGCAACAAGGGTTTCACTCTTGGTTGGATGGCTGCTTTGAAGAAGTTGGTTGTCCCTGAAGACTCTCCCCTAAAAGACGTCGACAACCTCATCCTGCCATTTCCCCCCATTTTAAGCCAATCCGAGGACGAGGCTGAGTCCGATGAGGGAGCTGAGGCCGAGAAGAAGAAGGAAGCTGCTGGGGCCAAGTCCTCTACTCTGAATGAGCAAGTCATGGACTTGTCTCAGGATGAGGAGGGTGAGGTCTCCAAAGATGCTACTCGTGAGAAGACAACATCGGACACGCATATCGCCGAGAAGAGCATCGACCAGACTTTTCAAGAGATCGATGCTGAGCTCACGACTGAGAAGGCTGCCGAGAAGTCTTCCTAACTGGCTTTTGGGGGTGAGACACAACCCCCCGCCAACGCTGAGTAGTTTAGTTTTGATGTTTCTCTTTTATTTCTTGTACCTTGTACTTTTTCTTACTTTTGAAACAATGTAAGCTTTAATTTGGCCGACGTGCCACTTTTGTGATCTGACAATTACTCTTCAATGTTAGGCTGAAGTGCCTTTTTTCCTTGTCTGAATCCATTCTCTAATTTATTCTTTCAGTGTGATTGAATGTTTGTCTTCCTTTTACTGTCTTGTATGATTTTATACTTAGAATAATTTACATGTCTTAAACGTTCAGCTTAACTGTGTAATCTTCTCGGTGTGGAATACTTCGGCTATACCCACTAACAGTTTATCTCGACTTTGACCTAGTATTATTTACAACTTGCCACTTAACTCTTTTCCGATCAGGACCTCTGTCTTCTAATATTTCAACATAACCTTGGGTTAACTTCAACTTGTAAACTTTTCTTAAAATTTACTTTTCGTAAAATTTTAACAAGTGTTAAACCAACTTCCTTTAACATAACCTCGGCTTAACTTCAACTTGTAAATTTTTTTTTAAAATTTCAACAAGTGTTAAACCAATTTTAGCTTGTAAACTCCCACTCCCAAGCATCATTCTCTAAGTCTCTGCCCCCTAATATGAACCTAAGTTCCACTTGGGTTCTCATTAAGCATGTGGCTTTTGAATTTGTTGCCGAGGTCAGATTCAAACAAAGACTGGCTGAGGTTACCAACTTTGGTCTCTTTGTTAATTTGGCTGGCATGTACTGAGTTCCAGTTTGTGTTTTGACTCTGTCGACATGACAAGTCCATGTTAATCCACTTAGTTCAACTCTATTATATATAAGTATAATTCTACTCTGTCATATAATAAGTCTAAGTTATTCGTCATGTTTCGCTTGAAAATATCACCAACTTAGTTCATCTCTATTATATGCAAGTATAATTCAACTCTGCCATATAATAAGTCTAAGTTATTCATCATATTTCGCTTAGAAACATCGCCAACTTAGTTCAACTCTATTATATGCATGTATAATTCAACTCTGCCATATAATAAGTCCAAGTTATTCGTCATGTTTCGCTTAGAAACATCGCTAACTTAGTTCAATTATATTATATGCAAGTATAATTCAACTCTGTCATATAATAAGTCTAAGTTATTCGTCATGTTTTAATCAGAAACATCGTCAAGTATCTGGTCAGTTGCACTACACAAGTATAAAAATTAAGCTAAAACTTTATTATTACTTCGGCTGATAACAAAACAAAAGAAAACTTAAAAAATAAGAAAATCTAGTGATAGAAAAACTTCCTATTGCAAGTATTCAAGGGTCTTGGCAGCTCTTTGCCTTCACTGTCTTCAAGCCGATATGCTCCATTGCCCAAGACCGAGATGATTCTATAGGGTCCCTCCCAATTCGGGCCAAGCTTGTCCTCTCTAGGATCCTTCTTATTACCGACGATCTTTCTCAGGACGAGGTCACTAACTTGGAACTCTCGCGGGTTCACCTTCTTATTATAAGCCTTGGCAAGCTGCTGTTGGTATGCCCCCAGCTGAATTGTTGTTTTCTCCCTTCTTTATTCTAGTAGATCCAGATCTTGGGCCAAGAATGCCTTATTGGTTCCATTTTCTACTCCCTGGGTTCTGATTCCTTGGATGCCGACCTCCAGTGCAATGACTGTTTTTGTGCCATAAGCCATGGCAAGTAGGGACTTCCCAATCGATCTTCTCAGTGTAGTCCGATATGCCCAAAGTACATTGGGCAGCTCTTTCACCCACTTTTCCTTTGCTGTTTCCAGCATTTTCTTGATCCCATCCAAGATAACTTTATTGGAGGCTTCTGCTTGACCATTACTATGAGGAAAGCTTGGGGTAGAGTAATAGTTCTTGATTTTGTACTTTACACAGAAGCTCTTGATTAGCGTACTGTTAAACTGTGTACCATTATCAGCTATTATTGCTCTTGGTATCCCAAACCTGGTTATGATGTTCTTCTATATGAAGTTCTTCACATCAATGTCCCGAATCTTGGCAAGGGGTTCAGCTTCTACCCACTTAGTGAAGTAATCTGCTGCTACTAGCAAGTACTTCCTTTGTCTAGTTGCTTGAGGCAGTTGTCTAACAAGATCCATGCCCCATTGGGCAAATGGCCAAGGACTAGACACTAGGTTCAGGTCTCCTGCTGGTTGATGTATCAAATGTGCAAACCTCTGGCACTTCTCACACTTCTTGACATAGGCTTCAATATCTTTTTGCATGTAGGGCCACCAGTACCCCTGAGTAATGGCCCTATGAGCAAGTGACCTGCCCTCAGCGTGGCTTTCACATACTCCTTCATGTATCTCGTACAGAAAATCTTCAACCTGTGTAGGATGCACACACCTCAAAAGGGGTCCAGTAAAAGATCTTTTGTAGAGATGTCCTTCTGTTGTCAAACTGAATCTTGCCGACTTCAGTCTGATCTTGTGCTTCTTTACGATCATCTGGCAACTTCCCATCTCTAAGGAATACTATTATTGCGTCCATCCAACTTGGTCCCATCTCCACACACATTGCTTTACGCTCTGTGTTCAGTGGTTCTATGCTTAGACTTGACAAGTAGTCAACTATTATTGTCCTTGCCTCTCCAGGCTTCATTGCACTAGCCAGGTTGGCCAAAACATCAGCATGGCTGTTGTCATCTCGGTTAATCTGCTGTAGTCGGCAATTTTGGAATAAGGCTACCAGTCTGCCCACTTCCTTTACATAGGCCGACATCCTTTTATCTCGGGCAGCATATTCTCCTGTTGCCTGGTTGACTATAAACCGGGAGTCACAGAAGACTATTACCTCGTCGGCTTCCATTGTTACTACCAGTTTTAATTCTGCGATTAATGCCTCATACTCTGCTTCATTGTTTGAGGCCTTAAACCCCAGACAAATGGATTGTTCTAGTATCTGCCCATCTGGAGATACTAGCACTACTCCAGCCCCCCGCTCCTTGTTGGTTTGAACTCCCATCAACAAACAGCCAGAATGAGTCGCCGATGTAAATATTGCAGAGCCTGGGTTTCTCTTCTTTCCTTTGTTCTGCTGTCCCCCGCTGGGTTTTTCCTTGTTCACTTGGACGTTGTATACCTCGACTCAATAGAGCTCGATGTATGACGGCGTCTGGCGTAAATTCGGCCACAAAGTCGGCTAAGACTTGGCCTTTGATTGTTATCCTGGGTCTGAATTCCAAGTCATATTGGTCCAAGGCCACTGCCCATCTGGCTATTCTACCTGTCAAATCTCCTTGCTACAACAGGGACCTCAAAGGATGTTCAGTTAACACCACAATTTTGTGGGCTTGAAAGAAATGATTCAGCTTCTTGGAAGCCATTACTAAAGCAAGTGTTAACTTCTCCAAGGGTAGGTATCTGGTCTCTGCATTTGCAAGGATTTTACTCACGTAGTAAACAACCCTCTGTTCTCCATTTTCTTCTCTGATTATTACTGCACTCACTGTATGCTTTGAAACTGCCAAGTATAAGAACAGCTCCTCTTCAAGTACAGCCCTTTTAGTCTGAAAGGCATCACTCTGTAGCAATACAGCCCTTTTGGGGTGATAAATGCAGTTTTTTCTTCATCTGGGAGGTACATAGCTATCTGATAGTACCCCCTGTAGGCATCTAGGAAGTTCATCTTTCCATGCCCTGAAATGGTATCTACCAATTGTTCAATTTTCGGTAGTGGGAAACTGTCTTTGGGATAGGCCTTGTTCAGGCTGGTGAAGTCCGTACAGACCCTCCACCTACCATTCTTTTTTTTCACAACCACTGTGTTTGATGACCATGTCGAGTAATTTATCTCTCGAATGGCTCTGGCTTCCAGAAGTCTATCCACTTCCTCTTCTATTGCGTCAACATGCATTAGTGTCGGCCTTCTTGCTCGCTGGATGACGGGTTTGGCCGACCTGTCTACAGTTAGTCTATGACAAGTGACCTTAGGGTCAATGCCTGACATTTCGTATAGTGTCCATGCAAACACCTCAAGGTTTGCTTTCAAGAATGCCTCTAATTCCTGTTCCTCTTCCTCGGCCAATCCTGAGCCGAGAAGGAAGTAGCGCTCCTCATCTCCTTGGTGGACTAAGATCTTCTTCAAGGCTTCTTCACTTTTCTCGGTTGGTTCTATGGAGCGTTCTTCATCCCCTTGTTGGACAAGGATTTTCTTCAGGGCTTCTTCACTCCTCTCGGCTGGCTCTTTGCTGACGTCCTCCAGGACTTCCACATCCTCGTCCTCGATCTCTGTTGTTTCTACTTCTCGTATGTTGCAGGTAGATTTCATTGCTGCCATGGAGCAATTCTTTGTCTGCACTTGATCCTCTCCGACCTTCTCTATTCCATGCTCTGTTAGGAACCGCAATAGCTGATGCAATGTTGAGGGAGTAGCCCCCATTGCATGTAGCCATGGCCTTCCCAGGATAACATTGTATAGGGAGGGGGTGTCGATTATGGTGAACTCTGTTTTTATCTTCTTAGTGCCAGCCTGCACCTCCAAACTCGCTGCTCCCAGAGACCATGTCGGCGTTCCATTGAACCCAACCATTAGGCCATTGGACTGCTCTAGATCATCTTGATGAAGGCCAA